TCATGCTTTTCATGTGTCGGTGTATGTAGGCCGTTGTGAGCTACTACTGAAGCAATGGTTCATTTTAAAGGGGGACATGTCATGACTTATTTTTTCTTGAGTTTCAATAGTTCTATGTTTGACGCAAAATATTGTCATGAAGTTCATTGCACTGAATCTCTCTCACTGAAAGGTGGTTTCAGCAGTTTTTCTCTTGACAGTTTAAGTACCTGCCAGAATGAGCTGTTTGGGGGCCCTGTCATTAAAAAAAAACAAGCTGGAGCTGGCCACGCCCACCCATTACTCACACAAGCTGCTATAAGCTGAGAAGCTCCAATATCCGGGGGGGGGGGCTCGGAGTAGAGGTCCTCAAGCAGCTCTCACCTTGCACATGAGCCATTTTAAATGTCCCCATTTGTGATGTCACAAATTGAGACATTTGAAAACTGCTTGTTATGTGCACATCATTCCTAAACTTAAACACTGACAGAAAATGAATCGTTAGATTTTATTTTTTAATGTTTGGTGGTTTTAAGAGGCAGTGGAGACACACATGGCAGCACAATATGTTTAGTGATTAGACATCAGAGTGAATTCTGATGGGAACAAATTATTCTAAACAATCGTGAAATAAAAAAATAAATCACATTTTAAACACATATACCAAAGACCTCAGGTAGGTAAGTCCTAGTGTGAAAAAAATAACTCTTGATATTTCAGGATAACTAAAAATGGTGCAAATGGCCTGCCATAGACCAGTTCAAAGTTTGATGTAATACATGCAACACTTTTCTCCTTTTGACTGACCATCACACATTTGAGATACTTAAGCTTCTGCATGTTATTCTGATCCAGCCTTTCATCCTGGAGATTTATCTGCTTCTTTTCTGCTTTGACTGTTTGCAAAACAGCTGAATGAAATGCACGGACACTTCTAGGTGGGAGTGATAACTGCGGTATTCATCTCACGCTTTGAACCTGCCAAACCATCTTTAGATGAATACGTGTATGGTTACACACCTAACAAATATCAAGAAATGGCTTTTAATGAGCAAGTGTTAAAGGTTAAGAGTGCAAAAATGGTATTTCTAATCAAGTGTTATTAAAACACCTACAACAATCTTGTTGATAATTAATCCTCCAGTTTCTATCAGATTGCCTCAACCCTAAGGCAAATTGATCATAATGATAAAATAATGAGTGGTGAATGTTCCCAAACACTCTAAATAGCTCCTTTATTATAGTTTCATTTATAGCAGACAGTTCATGCTTTTAAATTAATGAAAAAATCATTCAATTGTGGTCTCTGTTATGTCATAGCTACAGGCACTTCTTTATGCTACAGTCAAAAAAAAAACCTGAAATAACTTATAAAAGTCTAGTTTTTCCCATAAATAACAAAATAATGAATAAGGAATACATTATATTGGTACATTTGGTCCACTTTTTATGAAAATTGATAAAACGCCTGCATTTCCTTCTGTTGTGTGAAGAAGAAAAGTTTCTTTTTCATCATGTTGCTATTTAAGGCAACGTTGGTTTTACTTTGATAGTGGGTTAGCTAATTAGCAGGATCGAGATAGTCAGAAAAAACAAGTACACACAACAAATTTTACAAGTTACACACAATTATCTACAAAACAGATCACTTTATATGTATTTATTTTGCCTTAATTATTTGTATTTTTGATATACAAAAACTAGAACTATGAGATTTCTCCTCTGGTATTGGTTCGTGAAAAAAAAAAGTACTATGGGATACTTGGCTGTGCCAAGTTTGCAGAAGGAGGCATTAATGCATCCTCGATACAATGAGCTCTACACATCAGGGAACTCTGAGCAAACTTGCCATGATTTACATTTAGGATTGGAGTGGTACTTGGCCCAGCGTTGATAACGTTTCACAAGGAAGTGAGCACACAAGTTCAGAAAAGCACACATATTGAGAAATGTCAAGTGAGTCGTTTCGGTCTCCAGGGAACCTTCCTGTACATCCAATTCCGCTTTATTTTTTTGTTGGTTTGTTTGACAGAAAAATGAGAGAGAAATTTTATTTCCAGCATTTCAGAAACATGAAAAATAACGCTGAATAGTTTATGTGACGACGCTAAAGGCGTATGTAATCAGGGAGCTAACATTGTGTAAATGGAAGCACAAGGTCTGGTGCTAATGCTTTCAAAACAATGGCCAAGAGCCCATAAATGAACGTCTAAATTAAAGTTAGCCATTATTTTAGCGTTATGTGAAGCTAACCGATTTGCTGCTGTGTCCATCATTTCCATATTCAGAAGGAACTCGCTCAGGGTTTAAATTATGGGGGAGCTTAGGGGAGCTTAGGGGAGCCCGGCACCCCCAAAAGCCCTCAAATGGCACACCAAAAGGGAGCCCAAAAATGATCCAGTTTCAATTTATATTACATTATTCATGTGGACCCTCAGTTACCTGGCCTTCTCTCAGTTATACCACGTTTAGCAACAAGTTTTTTGACCGTTAATGTCAAAATCAGCTTGCTCTTACGGGGATCCAAGCTCTTTCAGTAAGTCCTTCTTGATTCTGGCAGAGGTCGCTAAACAGTTGTTCTTGAAGTGCTTCGCCCAATCAAAAAGTGCCTTCCACACAGAACAGGTACATTACCATGAAAATAAAACTTAACCAGGCACCTCACACACGATCTGATGCTGGGGGAGGAATGGTGTTAAGAACCATGTGGATTATTTCATTCAACAACCCAACATTTGGACTTCATTTGCGGCTTTGGCATTTTTCCCAATGGACTACAAAATTGCACCTAGAGGCTCAAAATGCACAACACACTGTATTTAGGGGCTAAAAATAGTGGATTTTGCATGATATGTCAACATGAAAGTATCAGAGTTTCTGAAGAAAAACTAGATATGCAATAGCTGATGTATCACACTCAGAAATAACCTACAGTTCAACCCCTTACTGTTAAAAGTCTGGTTCATCCCTCTCTGTTTCAAACTTCAGACCTCTTTCCTGTGACTGTGGTTTTTGTAATGGAAATGGATAAGAGCAGAGTAGAAACCAAGTGCCCTGATGATCCAGACAGAGCTTACGGTGCTGCCGGGGAATTGGAGCACGGATACACTGTAGGGAAAGCCAGCGGTCCCGATTCTTCCCTCCTGCTTTTCATTCGCACTCACCCTCCTCTCCTCCAAGGTAGAACCCAATTATCTCTGGTGGTCAGGAGTTAGCCTCCTTCAAAAGCCGTGAGTGGTTGATGGAGCTGTATTTTACTGACCCTTGTAGGAGTGCCAGAGGCCGGCTCTTCTCTGCTCTGATACGATACGGTCTCCCACCAAAGTGTAGAGAAGTGTGTAAGGAAAGGTTCGCAGACCTTAGGGGGTGGTGCAGGAGAGGGCTGTCGTATTAGGTCACGTTCTATGTCAAAAATACAAACAACAACTTCACACACTTTAGTCCTCTCTCCTCGGCATTCTTTTATCTTTCATTTCCTTTATCCTATATGTGTCTTTTTCATTCAGCCTCCCACATAATACCACTCTCTATCTATGTGATGCACAACTGAGTGCTTGATTATTCCCAGATTTTATTTCCTTTGCTGTCTTTATTTCCTGGAAGTCATCTGTTGCAACCTTTTGTGATTTATTCAGTGTTTATTGCTTGATTCTATCTTTCTCGTGCCCTCCTTTGTGCCCGCACACACACGCCCCCTCCCATTCTGTTAAAGTTGGATGCTTCTGCCTGCTTGACACAGATGTCACAAGGGAACTCCAGTGTATTTATTGGACTAATGGAATGAGTGAGTAACATTCAGCCCACCCCGCCACAACACCCAGCAGCTGCCGCAAGCCTCTCGGGTGGCACGGAAAGCCGCCGTCGCCAGGGTTGATGTTTGCATCTCAGCTTCTGCTGCAGCAGTTGCAAAAAAAAAAAAAAAACCTAAAAAAGGGAGAACAACGTAAACGTCTCCAGCTCAGTAGCCGCACTAATAATCCTCCTGTATAATCTCCAATTAGAAGTGCAGCTCTAATCTGTGATAGGGATATTTGTGGCATTTGGTCCCCTTCCTGTGAGAGTTTGGAGCTGTTCATGATGGAAGCTAAAGGTCTGCTGGTAAAGATGAGCTAGATTTCCTCGTTAGTGCTGAGATTATAAATTATATTGTGTTCCACAGTCTAACCTCTTTAATTGGTTAAAAGGAGGAGGTGAAGTAAAAATCGTCTAATGGTTTTTGGAGGCTGAGACAGCTGGCTGCTGAGGCTTTCTGGGAGAAGGAGGCACATTCCCCCTTCCAGGCGAGCCAATAACACCCCCAGCACTTATTCCCTCACATGAAGGAGCAATAACTTGCAGTCCGTTCCCCCGACATTACTCCTCTGAAGAGATATTCGTCGCCCGAGGAAAACGAGAGCGAAAGTGCGAGACTGACTAATTTGGTTTGAGCTTCACCTGGGAGTTTGTCAACATCAAATAACGCTGGAATATTCCTCTCACCGTGTAATGTGGTGAATTAGTTGTTTCCCCCTGATGCATCCGGCGCTCTAAAGCAAAGCTTACAAGTTCCCTGATGTTCCAAGCGGAACCGTGTCCCTAATGCCAGATTGTGTTACGTTGCATCTGTATTAGCCAATCCAATGAGATTATGTGCGTCCTCCATCAGTTTATAAAGAAACCAGCCTCTAACTAGCACACAAGCATGATCAGCTCCCCTTTACTAAAGGTGCTTCATCAGTGCCTGTTGATAAATTCGTTATCACCTCACGCTGCACCGTTTGGCGCTGTTTCGTCTTGTTGTTACAGATTTAATTATAACGCTATCGATTCCCACCTCATCACATCTCGTGTCGATATTCCAAAGCGGAATTGAAAAATGCTTCATTTGCTGTTCTCTGCACTTTGGCCTTGCCCATGCACTTAAATCGTCCTAAGCTTAAAGCTCACATGCCGCGTCTGAAGTTGTGAACCATAAATCTGTCGTCTGAGTCACCTTGCGTTTGATATATGGTGACCTTTGACTTCACCTCTTGTGTAATTAGATGGGATGGTGAGCGAGGGGGAGTTCTTAGACATCACGGAGATCAAGAGGCAGCAGGCTGAGGACTATGAATGCATCACCCACAACGGCGTGGCTCCACCTGACCGGCGCAAGGTCAAAGTCACAGTCAACTGTAAGTGCAAAACCCCGCTGGTGATAATTCAACTCAGCCTCATCTGCATAATTATGTATTAATAATATATGTGAGTGCTGTACATGCATTACTGTGTACATTCTAATTTGGTTTTCTCGGGGCATTTTTTAACCTTGCATGCAGCCCCAGACCGACCTTTTCTGTATGATTACTGACTCTTCTCTTTCTGTTTGCTTACTGATTTTCCCTGCCAGACCCCCCCATGATCACAGACATGAAGAACATGCCCGCCCATTTGGGGAAGACCGCAGTTTTGCGTTGTGATGCGATGGCAGTCCCCGCGGCGTCCTTTGAGTGGCACAGAGACGATCACAAGTAAGGCCGCTGCTACACACACTACTAATCTCATATTATAACCAGTTCCAGGAATAAAATGTGTTCTGTTTGTTTACTTTTAGAATAGAAAACTTTATTGTCTTGATGCATGCACATAATGAAATTGCTTTTGACTATAAAAAAATAAACACAATAATAAAAAACATGAATAAAACAAGATTAAAAAAATAAGTCAAATCAGACAAAATCAAACATGCACACAGTAAATCGGGGGGAGGGGGGGGGGGTAGATTTTACAGCTCTAGGGAAGACGCTGTTCTCTAGTCTGGTGGTGCGTGTCTATACCGCTTACCCGAGAGGCGGAATGAAAAGTTTGTATCCTGGATGGGTTTGGTCCATGGCAATACATCTAGCTTCGCTCTGGAGCCGACCTACATACACTTTAACCTCCTTGGTTTTATTAGTGTTCAAACCCAGGTTGTTAAGTGAACACCATTCTGTCGTATTTTGAATCATCAACCTGTAGTGTGTCTCATCAGTGTCTGAGATGAGACCCACCACAGTGGTATAATCTGCAAACTTCACAACCAGATTAGAGGGACAGGTGGCAGAACACTCTAGTGTGATCACGGTGAAAAAGGGCTGGGCTGAGCACACAGCCCTGTGGGGTGCCTGTGTTCAGAATCAGAGTAGAGGATGAAAAGCTCCTCAACCTCACTGCCTGAGGCCTGCCTGATCCAGTAGCACAGTGATGTAGGCAGTCCCAGTCCACAGTATACGTGTGTAGGTATCCGGTAGCTCCAGGTGGGAAAGGGCTGAGGCTAAACTAAACACTTAAAGTCTTAGGATCCAGATGAAGTATTAGGATTAGTACCTTTACAAAAATCCTGCCATATCTAGTCCTGAACATGTCTACTGCCCCCTAGTGGAGGAGCTACAGGTGGGGAAACCCCATTTATATTATTTATCACTATTAACGTGTTATAATGACTTGGGGTGGGACTCGATTTAAAAAAATCTAAATCAGTGGTGTGAGATAAAGTGAGCTGTCCGTGCTCGGAAGCCATCAAACCTGAATGAACTAGAGATGTTTTGTAAAGAACGGTCCAAAATACCTTCAACCAGAATCTTGACTCTCTTTGGAAGCTATAGGAAGCGTTTAGAGGCTGTTATTTCTGCAAAATATTATATATATATATATATATATATATATATATATATATATGTGTGTGTGTGTGTGTGTGTGTGTGTGTGTGTGTGTGTGTGTGTGTATGTATATATATATATATATATATATATATATATATATATATATATATATATATATATATATATATATATATATATGAAACAGAATTTTTTATTGTAACAACCAACAATTTATACAGGAGAATCATGAAGATTGACAAGGCTGCACAAACTTTTGCGTCCCACTGTATATTCCTCTGTATATTTAAGCAATCAGGCTTAGAGGAACCAGTTGACATACAAGCTAGTTCAACATTCATTTCTTACAGTGTAGAGCACAACCGGAGAAAAGAAGCAGAAGGAATGATTTGGATTTATTGATTTACCAACACAAAATCTAACATTGCCTTTAATTGTTGTTTTAAACCTCAAAATAGGAACAAAAACGATTCAAGAATAGTTCACTGTTTCTGAATTCAATGTGAACATTTTTCAGGTCAAACACTTTGTGGAGTACATTGTAGACCCTATGACTTTACTCAGGTAGGCATTACACTTCACTAAAAGATAAACCCAAAAAATTCAGAGAGGTTTGAATAAAATGTTAAACATTATTATCTGACAATATTATGAGCATAATGCCAGTAAAAATAATTGTAACACACATTAAATACCTTTTATTTCCCCAAATGAGTGAAAAAAAAATCTAAAATATTTTTTATTGGTGTAGAAATTGAAGGATAGGAGAAAAAGCCAACCTTTTCACCAACAAACGCACCTTAAAAGTCCAAATTGTCGCGATAAAGACCTGCTCTTTCAGACAATAATTACACTCTTTACTTTTGTATTGGCTGAATTAATTCAAGATCCAGAGTTAAGATGAAACTGGGAGTTTTTATTTCAAGCTTTTGTTGGTACTTTTATCAGGATAAATATTTGTAAAGGCCACTCAGGGACACGAGTGGATAATAGTGATGGATTATTACAAAACTGAGAATGTCAAAGTAGTTTTTTTTCCATCTGAGAATGAGAGAGGGCCAATTGACACCAGTGATGGGTGAAAAATATATTTAGAGAGCACAGCCGAGAGCGCAGTATTAAGATGTTATCAAGATGCTTTTCTTTATTGACTGTGATTTTTTTAGTATTGGTGGTTAGGATGGATTTTTAGGGGAACAATGCTGCAGTGTTGTCATAAAGGTAGCTCTCATGTGTCCTTGTTTTCCTTCCCACTTTCTCTCTGTGCTTATGCCCAGGCTGGTGGACACTTACAACACCTTAAGGATCAAAAACGAGAAGACGCGCTCGCTGCTGCTGTTTACCAACGTGACAGAGAAGCATTTTGGCAACTACACTTGCTTTGCCTCCAACCGTCTGGGTTCCTCCAATGCCAGCATTCTGCTGTTTCGTAAGTTATCACACAGACTCCCTTCACCCTGCACATGTGCCAACGTTTACCTTTAGTGACTATCAAATGATAGACGGGCCTTTCTACTGCACAAATAAATGCAGTGTCTGTTATTTCTGCAGAGGGCTTCAAACTTAAACTCCCTCCTTTCTCTCATTTTCGTCATTCTCCGCCCCATTAGAGCTGTGTCTGCCTACATTGCAGCGCCTTTCTCTCTTTTCAAACTCTCCCCCACCCTCCATCTCTCGTCTGCACGCGTCCCTGCCTGTACACACAGACTGTCGCTCTGTTCTGTCCTGTTACCCAAGAAGTTGTCATTTCTCCCAAGCCCGGTTCACATTAACCGTCTCCAATGAACTATTTCCTACCCTTCCATTTTCCATCACCAGCCCTTTAGTGCATTTGGCATTACCATCTTAAGTGAGTCCTTCATCTACCCCTTTTTTGCTTTTTTCATTCCTTTCCCCATTATCTCGTCCAGTCTCCCTTCAATGACTCACTCCTCCACCAGACCCATACATCTTTCTGCTCACTTTTTTCACCGCTGCAGCCACTTCTGTCAGCCTATCTCTCCATCATCTGTCCTTCTGTCTCTTATTTCCCTCCTAATCTTCTTCTGCCATCATTAGAACACAAAAATCCCTTTTTCCCTCAACCAGACACACAAAAATGAAAAGCTCCAACCATAATTGGATAGTTTTGTGGATTTTTTTTATTCATGAGCTGTCCCTGGCTATCATTTCCTCACCTGACTTTGTTTTCCTGCTTTTCTACCTCTTATTTCAGCATTTTAAAAGTACCGCATGTAGCATTTTAACATCAACCCTCAATCACATCAAAATTGGCACATTATTGTAATTACCCTCTATCAATGAGTCCATTACTGAGACCATTGGCAGTCTCTAGTAGCTTTCACTTTATACTGAATCACTCAAGTATGAGCCACCAGGATCAGTGCTTTTAGATCAAACAAATTGCACAACGGCACTAGATAAAAAGAAAGGAAGTAATTAAAGGTTCTCAAAGTTGCCCTTTTAAATGTTTCCCAGCTGCCTAGCTGTACTTGTGATATAATAAACAACAACAACTAGACAAATGCATTCACCAGGATGAGCTGGTGCTATGAGGTCCAGCTAATCAAAAGCAGCAGAGATGTTAGAGCACACTTTACTCTCCTTAAGGCCTTTTGCAAAAGAGTAGGATGTAAGTTACAAATTCGCTGTAAAAGCTTGTTTGTCTGATTTCACAAATTAACAATGTTAGTAAGTAAAGAAAGAAAGAAAGAAAGAAAGAAAGAAAACCTTCATTTGTGTCAATATGTAGTTCATTTGTCATCCTGTTGGTTGTAATTTTCTAATCTCCTTCACACTAAACATGCTACAAAATACAAATATTATTGAAAAGGTCAGTTTCTGAATGAAATTTCATTTTCCTCTTATTTTAACTTTAATTTCTGACGGCTCAAATATACTCCTGGTCTGGCTGATGTAAGCTGTCCCCACCTATACCCTTATACACGCACACAGACACACACACACACATACACATCTAAATCTACTCATTCCCTTCATATATCACATCATCTCTTTCATTGATATTTATCCAACTCCTCTAAACTTTTAATCACCAGTATCTTAGCTTCCTCTGGAGTTCCATTCAAATTAACAAAAAATTAGCAATTAGCAGTCCAGGTACCGTGGATCTTTTTCTGCTTCCTCAGAAAACGGGCTTTCTTGGCAATTTCTGCATTATACTTTGTCAGATGCTCATTTAGACATCAGTTCCTTTCAACTTTTTTGCTTGTTTAAGGAGAGATTTTTTCATCTTTCTGCTCACAAATCTCATTAACACAGACACGTTTTCCTTCATATTCCTACTTGACAAAACATGACGTGCTTCAATGTTGTTCTCACTTATTTCAATACCCTTTGAGTGAAAGAAAGTTGTCACCTGCCTTTCCACATGATTCATATCTGTTTCAGTTGGTTCCTCCCCATTATATTTGCTATTGCTCGAGCAAGGATCTAGGTTTTATATCAACTTCTGTAATGACAACATCATAAATTCTTGAATATTGCTCCAGTTCATCTACTCGTTTTTGCAAAATACAGATTTGTTTGTCCTTCTCAACATTTTGTTGTTTCAGATTTTTTACCTCTTATACCAAATCAACACGTTCTCACTCCCAGCGTGTCAAAAACAAACGCTTGGTCAGCCACCCTCCATGTCAGACCCCTGACGCCAAAAGTGCCCTTTTTCGTTACTTATGTGCGAAAAGGGGTTTTTCCCTTATTTGACTGCAGATCCCAATGCAGTGTAAAACTGAAGCGATGGGATGTCCGCTACCGTTGCATCCCAATGCAGCGTTACACTGATGCGATGGGATGTCCGCAGCCAGGGCACCAAACAAGCTCATTGTACCTCACCTTAACCTTATCCTCTTGTTTAACCTTCCCCTCACCCCTACCCTAACCTTAACCATCTTGCCAGCGAACACGTTGGTGATGTGTCGATCGCTCTAAAAGCCGGCTCTATGAAGTGAACGGCGGGAGCCGCCTCGTGATTGGTCGAGTTTGGACCAAGCCAACACGAGGGGGAGGTTTCAACTACCAAGGTGGAGGTTAAAAGTAGAGGGTATTTGTAACCTCCCCCTCGCCAGATGGTATGTTCTAATGTTCCCCTTGGGCGGCAAATACGAAAATTCACAGTAAGACTCTGACTGTCAGAGTCAGAATGCATGGGAAACAAACGCTTGATCACAGTGAGAGTAACGTTTTAGGTAGCAAGAGGGTTAAAGTTAGGATGAGGGAGAGGGGAAGGTTATAAATAGCGAAACATTAAGGTTTAGGTGCGGTTAAACGAGCTGGTTCGGTGCCGCATTGGTTAAATGAGGGTTAAGGTTAGGATGAGGGAGAGGGGAAGGTTATAAATAGTGAAACGTTAAGGTTTAGGTGCGGTTAAATGAGCTGGTTCGGTGCCGCATCAGTGGATATCTAATCACGTCAGTTTTACGCTGCATTGGGATCTGCAGTTACAAAAGGGAAAAACCCCTTTTCGCACATAAGTAACGAAAAAGGGCACTTTTGGCGTCTGGGGTCTGACGTGGAGGGTGGCTGACCAAGCGTTTGTTTCTCACGCTTAGGGTGTGAGAATGTGTTGCCCAAATCCATAATACTTTTCTGTTGTTGCCTGACTGTTGGAAGTTGTTCAGCCAAAAAGTCAAGTGATTTTTTTAATTTCATCCACTTCCTCATTATTAATCCTCATTGGTCCCATCTTACAGTAATAACTTTTACTATCAGCAATTAAACCTGCTTCCTTGTAGCTGGTAGCTTGTGTTGAGGCCTGTAGCCAATGGCTCACCCAGTTGCTAATTGCTTATGTTGAATCCTTTAGCCCAGTTGCTTGAGTTGATGCCTGTAGTAGCCTGTGGCTTGCCCAGATGCTGGTTGCTGGTATTTTTTGCTTTTTAGTGTCTAGTAGATCCTGGGCTTCCGGGCCTAGTGGCCGATGCTGTATCCTAGAATTGCCTGGTGTTAGCTTGGAGGCTGCTGCTTGCCTGGTGGTGTCATATGTTAGAATCATAGGAAACAATCCGATCTCTGATGTATTAAGGAACCTGATATTTGAGAGAACCTCATCTGTGCCCCATACAAGCTCATCATATCACAATATGCTAATTTTTTGAGAAGGACCTGTATGCGGATGAAGATCGGCTTCAGAGCTGAGATGTTTGTTCTCTCAGCGCGGGGGCTCGTTCCGATGCCCGAACAGTAAAAAAAATGCAAATGACAACTTTAGTCATCATTGGCAGTGAATGAGTTAAGCCAATAAGTAAAAAGTTTCCTATATAAGGAACCCAGCAAATTGTTTCAAGTCACTGATGGTGTCAGTGACTTTACAGTTATCCCATCGAAATATATACTGGACAATTCGTTTCTGAATTCAGGTTTATGTTATTTGTAGGGATGAAAGATCAAAGCAAACAGACTCAGTGTTGGAGTCGCGTTACCGTTAGCCAATCAGAGGACAGATGTCCGGATATCAAGAAATAAGTCTCCAAAACATGCCAGCTGAAGCTCACTTCTACTCTGGCTGACTTCTACTTCCTGAAACAGAAGCGCCAGAGTTATTTCCCACAAGATAGACTCACATAGCATTCGCTTATACTAGAGACCACTGCAAATGTGTTTAAATAACTAGTAAACTTGGTCTTTTAATGCAAACTAAGACCAAAGTAAATAATACACAAATAAAAAGATTAAAATTGATCAGAATTTGTTCATATTTTTTCATCTAAACACTTACTCAGGTGGCTCTAATGTGACCGGAGTTTGTCTGAGGGGAAAAAATTCATATTAAAAGTTTGGCATTCACATATACAGAAAAGCATTCCCCTGGCTGATGGATTCATACGTCTGAGGTATTTTGAAATTGAAAAAGATGATTTAATAACATCCTTTACAAAAAGGTTTTAAGGAGACAAAACACACATAACATAACATGTTGTTTTTAACTGAATCGCACACAATCAGCACCCAGAAAAATGCATTAGTCTCTTTTACATTTTTATTTTTTTGGAAACTAATATTAAATAAACTAAGCAACAAATAGAAATGAATGAAGTCTTCTGTGTGAAAACCCTGAAAATATAGATGGGGGTTAAATTATGATGGATGTTAGTGCTACACGAGGAGATTTTTCCCTCAGAGCCTGAAAACTCATTTTCCATGTGATTCTAACTTTGCACTTGTCTCCCCCTCTCCCTCCCCTCTCCCTGCCCTCTTTTCGGATCCCTCACCCCCTATCCAGGACCAGGGGCCCTCCAGGGGCGAGGGACCAGTTTACATGCAGGGATGAGTGTCAGCATGAGTGTTTGGGTTTCCCTTTCTGCTGCTCTTCTGCTGAAAGTGTAAGGACCCCGCTGCGTTTGGAATCGTCCTTAATCGTCCCTGGAAGCCCCACTTCCTCCTCTGCTCCCTTTCTCCCTCTCAACGGAAGGAAAACGGAATGAAATTCTTTAATTATGAACCCATCACTGTGAACAAAAAGAATATGCATTATTCCAGGAGCCATTGAATCATTGCATCAGACGCACGGAAACTCCCAAACCCAGAAAAGGAAAAGAAAATAATAATAATTTGGATTCTCACTATCCTTTCTTCTGTTTCTCCCCACTCACTCACTCTCACACACACACACACACACACACACACACACACACACACACACACACACACACACACACACAGTCAATACATCCCTTTTCAGTCTCCCAGAATGCCGTGCAGCTTTGTCTGACTCTGCACTTCCCCTCATCCCCTTGTTTTCCCATCATTCCCGCCGGGGTGATGTTAGTAGAACGTGTATATTAACGAGAAAATAGAGAATCTAATAACTGGATGGTCATTTATGTAAAAAAAACAGATTACTGACTAACCTACAATGTTTGCCTTATGGAAATAATACATAAAATCACAATATTTTAGTGGTTATTTCTGCAAAGAATGGTAACATTGTGGCTCGACGGTCATGTGACCTTTTAAAATTTGTCCAGCTGGTGGTCATGTGATGTGTCACCCTTTGATCTCACACACACACACACCAAGTGACACAAATGTGTGTTTTTGATTTTTTTATTATCATTATTATTATTTTAACTGTGTAGCACTGAAGCTGCAATGAATGATGTCAAAATGTATTAAAAAAAAGGATGGGTGGTGGCGGCGCCAGTCTGAACAACCCTTTAGGTCATTTGGGGGGTGGGGGGGGTGGGGGGGGGGGGTGTTAAAGTTCCGCATGTAGCCCTCACTACCCAAACCTTTTTACCCCCCCTCCTGCCTCTCTGTCCAAAGTGCTTTGTCTAGTTGCCCTTTGCATAGTGTTATCTACTGTATGTCAGCCCCTCCCACCACATCCCTCGCCCTTTCTGCCCAGTGTAAATATACGCAGAGCCGAGGCCACGCCGCTTTGCGCCCAACGAAATCTCCGGCGAACCTCGACGACACTCCAGTCTTCTGATGCAGCAAGAGACTCGTCCTTCGACGAAAAAAGCATCTTGTGTTTCGAAGCTGCGGCTCCATCTTCTTTGTCGCTTGTTGATAGCATGTACCGGTTAGAGGTGTTCCTGTCGTGAGTCCAAACACTCCCCCCTCCTCCCCCTTCCTGCACTGTGTCTGTTTTACTCTGCACCTGCTTTTACGTTCTTGGTGTTAATAATCCTACTACTGATGATGACGATGATGATGATGTTAATAAGTATTTGAATAACTATGAATAGTAATTCCACATAAGGGGGAAAAAAGATAAACAAATCTGACGGTAAATGGTTGTGCACTTGGGGAAAAAATAAAGTTTTTGTACTTCACTCAAACACACCTGGGAAGAAGAAAAAATATAAAAAAAATGTGTCGTTTTCAAAGTGGTGTGCTCTATTTTGCCATTACGAGCTTTTTAAAAACACATTCTGAACCGCTCCAGGGATGATTTTATTTGATTCCGGTAGCGGTCGACTGGTGATGTAATTTATAATTTGTGACAGTTTATATATTTCACTCTCTTTGTCACACTTTTAACGCCATCAGACGCACATTTACAGCACATTTGTCCACTCGTCACAGTGTGTCCTCTCCGACCACGCTACATAAATGATTTGGATCCGTGTCAGTCTCCAGGTTGTGACTGTAAGTCAGTTCTTGTTCTGCCAGAACCACAAGGAGATAAAGATGTAATTAGCCATTACCCGTGGCTGGCTGAGCGAAGGAGCCCTGGCTTCACCTGTCCTTCCTGGCGCCCAGTTATGGCCCCAATAAATCAAACTCAATCCTGCCTCTGACAGGAATCCTCTTCATGGACCGACTTGTCTTGGTGCGCCGCTGCTCCCTCCAGTGTGTTCCTGTGACATGCAGGCAGAAAAACTACAAACCCCCCTCCAGGCACAGTTATTTAGCCACTTCCCCTGCACAGCACAAACAGTGGGAGGAAGGCCCGTGTTCCAGAGTGGTGGCACTCGTTTGGTCTCTGGAACACCGTTCTGCTAACACGCAGTGACTATATGCAAATGTGCTACAGCAAGCCTGCATGGAGGGATGTGCTTGCCTTGGCTGAACCCTGACTACAACAACATGAAGGTTGGGGGGGTTCTCAACACTGAATCAAATGTATGAATGTGTTTTTATTCTTTTGACTTTTGTTTCAAACCAGCAATAACCCCTAATTTTACTGTGCAAAGAGTCATGGTTAAATATGTGGTGTAAAATCTGAAATGATCAGCCATTAACAATCTCTAGCGAATACGTCTGTTGTTGTACTTTTAATGTGTACGGTTCTCTGAAATGATTGTGAAGCTCTGTTTAAATGGCCCCTAATCTCAGACACTTCATGTTGTTCTAAAGAAGCTGTTCCCTCTGCGGCGTGTTTGGATCGTCTGTGCTGAAGAACGCATTTTGTGCATGCAACTTCTCGCTCCAACAACAAAAAAAAAAAAAAAAAATGGAATCCATTTCAAGCACAATAGCAGGTCGTTTTGTCTGTGATTCTTTTCTTTTTCTGTCTTAGTCACATTTTTGCTCTATCTCCATTTTATTACCGTTTATTTCTTTCTTCAGCATCCCACCAGATTTCTCAGTGACCCTCAGCATCTGTATGTACATAATCTGTTGTTGATGAAGATGAAAAGAAGATAAAAATAAGTATGGACAACAAATTAAACATATTGTCATGTTTGTCAGTGTGGGTTTGGGGAAAAACAGCATGTCAGTGTTTATGTATGGGTGAGTTTTGGAAAAAATAAGCAGGTTTCAGCTGTTCGGGGTTTGTGGGTAAAATGTTTGGATGTAGGGGAAACAGGCAATATGGGCAATATAACTTGAAATTGTGAACTGGTTCTAAACTGAATGTGAGTATTTGTACATATCAATCAATCTCTCATGGCTTCAGGAGTTTTAGGCTTTACAGCTTTATTATAGAACGTGGAGTAAAGGAAAAGGATAAACTGAGCTGGTTCTGATTCCTTGAGGTCCCTTAATATATATTTGGTAGATTTAAACCAGTTGTATTAATTTGAAAAATTATTACTTTATTCTTTTTTCCCCTAGTTGCATTGGCAGTTCTAGCTACAAGGCTACAGGGGCATTGGCCCCTGTTGAAATCTGAATCTGATTGACCACCTGAAGTGGCCCGGCCCTATCTCTCCTTTGTGGGATGAGATTTGAGGTGGATGCAAGTCTAAGACCAAACACTGGTGGCGCAAATAAGTCACATATGAATTTTCAGCATGAAAACTTGTGAAAGGATGTTTATATTTGGCCCCTCTGTAAATATTGTGGCCCTTTGATGGCTCATAAAAAGTCTAGATCCCCCACTGCATAATTTCTTTAAAGGGGCAATATGTAAGAATAAAGTAAGAATGACATCCTGTGGTCAAATGTGGTTACTGTAGTTCATTTTTCTAAACAAGAAATCACTCTCACTGCGATTTTGTGAGTTTTGTGGCTGTAGCCAGTTACGGATCAGGGCCAGAAGGTACTAGACGACAAGCGAAGATGAGTCATACACAGTAAGTTGATAGGTAATTCCATCCATTTTCATCTGCTTGTACGGAGTCGGGTCGCGGGGACAGTAGCCCAAAGCCTGGTTTATGCTTCTCCGTCAGCTCCGCAAGGTACAGACACGCACGGATTGACGGAAGCGTTTTGCTCTTTTACTTCTCCGTCTCCTGGAGAGTGTTGCAAAGCAATTGCCTGACAGGACCACAGAGGGCGTAGCGCTGTTCTGTGGTATCCTGTCATGTATCGGTCCAAGATCGTGTGTTTATATTGTGTTTTTTGTGTATATAAGAGACTTTTTAACACGGACGTATTTGTCTCTCATTCTCCCACCGCTTCATGCGCTCCCCACCTCTAAACCCACGTTTCCTGTCATTTCCGTCCACAAATAAAACGCTTGCTGTGTATCTTTTCACTCCTCCAGTCACGGGAGGATGAAACGTTCATATTTTTAGAGTTTTTTCGCGAGGTATTCTTCAAGCTTCTCCGTGTCTGCCGCTAGTTGAACTTGGCTCTCTTTGCAATGGCGGCGCTGTAAACAACAGTGGCGTCCTGACCAATCACAAGCTTGCATAATCCGTTTCGTTCGACGGATGTTTAAAAAAGTGGGCTCGACTCCGTACGTACTTGCGTGCATGCCGCAGCCCTACGCAAGGACAGATAATGGCGTTGTGTGTCTCCGCACTGACGCAGACGGAGAAGCATAAATCAGGCTTAAGGCGAGAGGCCCAGTTTTCCCTCTCCCCAGCCACTTGGGCCAGCTCCTCCGGGGTAATCCCAAGGCGTTCCCTGGCCAGGTGAGAGACATAGTCCCTCCACCGTGTCCTGGGTCTGCCTTTAGGTCTCCTCCCGGTTGGACATGCCCAGAAAACCTCACCAGGGAGGCAAAGTCCGTGACCCCTGAGGCGCCGGATGGTGGACCAGAATCTCCTCGAAGCCGTACGGAAAGTCTTGTTCGATGGTCCCACCGAACTCCACCCATGCCCGGGTTTTTGCCTTGGCGGCCACCCGAGCCATGTTCCGCTTGGACTGCACAGAACAGGGTCCTTTCAGACTCAATGCCCCCCGCCTCCCCCGGAACATTTTGGAAGTTCTGTCGGAGATAGGAATTGTTCTTACACAAGACTCTACCAGACATTCCCAGCAGACTCTCACGATGTGTTTGGGCCTGCCTGGTCTGACCGGCATCCTCCCCCACCATCTGAGCCAACTCACAACCAGGTAGTGGTCAGTTGACAGCTCCGCCCCTTTCTTCACCCGAGTGTCCAAGACATGCGGCCACAGGTCAGATGAAACAACAACAAAGTCAATCATTGAGCTGCGGCCTAAGGTATCCTGGTGCCAAGAGCATATATGGACACCTTTATGTCTGAACATGGTGTTCATTATGGACAATCCATGACTGACACAGAAGTTCAATAACAAAACACCACTCGAATTCAGATCGGGGGGCCGTTCCTCCCAACCACACCTCTCCAGGTCTCACTATCGTTGCCCACGTGAGCGTTAAAGTCCCCCAGCAGAAGGAGGGAGTCACCGGAAGGAGCGCTTTCCAGCACCCCCTCCAAGGTCTCCAAAAAGGGTGGGTAGTCTGAACTGTAGTTTGGTGCATAAGCACAGACCATAGTCAGAACCCATCCCCCCACACGTAGACGGAGGGAAGCCCGGCTACCAGGCGCTCGCCAACGTGCCCCACCTCCAGGCCTGGCTCCAGAGGGGGGCCACGGTGACCCACATCCGGGCGAGGGAACACGGCCGTCGTCCTCTTCCTCCGCTTATCCGGTTCTGGGTCGCGGGGGCAGCATCCCAACTAGGAAGCTCCAGACCGTCCTCTCCCCGGCCACCTCCATCAGCTCCTCCGGCAGGACCCCAAGGCGTTCCCGGACCAGATTGGAGATGTAACCTCTCCAACATGTCCTGGGTCGACCCGGGGGCCTCCTGTCGGCAGGACATACCCGAAACACCTCCCCAGGGAGGCGTCCAGGAGGCATCCTGACCAGATGCCCAAACCACCTTAACTGGCTCCTTTCGATCCGGAGGAGCAAACCTACCCAGCAAGAGCTGGTTTCCATTTATATAATTCATCATAAGAGGTCTTCGGGCTGCTCTTTGTCTGATCCCTCACCTAGGACCTGTTTGCCATGGGTGACCCTACCAGAGGCAGAAAGCCTCAGACAACTTAGCTCGTAGGATCAT